CGTGCTTTGCATTTTAATGATTCTTTTGCTCATATTAATGGGTTGCACAAAGAAAATGGCGCGACTTGTTTGCTTCTCTCAAATGTATAAAAGTTGAGCATGCAGTTCTAATAATATGGTGATAGATAACATTTGAAGAGTACAATATATTTATATAGGAACAACTTTGATTGAAATGTCTGTCTGACAAAGAATAACGAAATTTGAAGACCATGAGAATGTAGTGTTGCTCAAGACTTGTAATTGATTGTCACAACTGAAGACCTAACAGCGTTTATATATATTAGGTGATCGATGTACAACTCAGCACTACCGCCCACTAGATATTAAAATCGAAAACATCCGATTGAAAAATATCACTTGTAGGAACAGAAAAAGCTTGTACAAAAATGTCATACATAGAGTCAAAAAACCTTCTATTGAAAAAAGTTGACAACATGTTTACGTCAAACTGGATATGAACTCAATAAATCAATGTGATTTTAAGATGAGGAGTTAATAAGAATGTGTATCTTTATCTATAGCACATAATGGTCCTGTCAAACTTAAGTAACGATGAGAAAAAGTGTTAGTTATACGGTATATTGGGCACACTAAACGTTATGGAAAGATCATAGCGAAAGAATTTTCTTTGGTGATGAAATTTTTTCAACTGACGGTGTGTTTATTTGATAAAACGATCAAATATAAACGTCAAGTTGATGACTGGCAGTCAAAAATAATGATATTCAATCGAAATCGGATAATTACATCCTTCTCTCTTTGTCATTATGACAAGTGATCACAAGTTGTGAGCAACACTACATTTTCATGGTCTTCAATTTTCGTTATTCTTTGTAAGACAGACATTTCAATCAAAGGTGTTCCTATATAAATATATTGTACTCTTCAAGTGTTATCTATTACCATATTATTAGAACTGCACGCTCAACTTTTATACATTTGAGAGAAGTAAACAAGTCGCTCAATTTTCTCTGCCCAACCCGTTATATGTGCAAATTTTTATAATAAAATTCGAAAACATGAGTTTTCAGAAAACCTTTGATAGCTTATTCAAATTTAAAGAAGAGCCCAAAACTGTTTAGTGTTTTCATTAGAATACGATGTAGTATTAATAGGCAAAACAATTATTCAAATCGGAAGGTGACATCCGAAGAGATTTCTTCATTAGTCATAGTTGCTTTATATGGCGAGAAGAAGAAGAAGAAGAA